AAAACTTTCGCATTTAGTGGGACGTCATGATGTCCTGTTATGTATTAGCAAAATAATGTCTGATGAATGAAATTGCATATTCTCTTTTCTATGACAAGACCATTAGCAGCTGCTTATGGAACATTTGACGGGGCCATTGGAAGACGTCTCGGGTTATCATTCCAGTGTGCCTTGCTTACATTGGAAGCATCCTTTCAAAGCTGTCCGAAGTAAAGTTCTCCATTAATCGGGAATAGCATTAGGCACACGGAAAAGATAACACTGGAAGGTCGGAAAGAGAGAGAAAAATGCTTTATTTTGAAGGTACATATTCAAAATTTTCAGCAAAAACGGCTCCATTCATGGAGAGCAAGGGATAAGGTAAGTTAAAAGGTCATGCATTTGAAATGTCTTTTCTCAGATACAAATTTGAAGATTGCGTATACAGCAGAATTTATTGGAACCATAAATTTCGCGAGTGCCCATCAGCTGCGTCCTCTCGCTGCATAAAGTGAGTGACGAATGAGACAATACAAAATTGAATTCATATAGAAAAATCGATAAAAATAATAATGTCACAAGAAATGGCCAAGAGGCAATCAATAGCGTGGGAATGTTAAACTCTGTGGGCAGCGAAAACGGGAGAAAAACGCCTAAGGCAGAAAAGTTGGGAATTTACATGCACTTATGGATGCAAGTACATAGGGCGAACACAAAGGCAATTGACAGCCAGAGCTAAGGAGCACTTGCCGAGTTAACTATTAAAATAGGAGAATAGAACTGCTCGTTCTTCCATTACCGAACAGTTATTGGATAAGGGCCATTCTGTAGACTTTAAAACATCCTTCCGAGTACTTGTTCGGGGCTGAACAACTCGTACCTTACGCTACCTGGAGGCAGCCTACATACGGCGGTTCAAACGTGACCTATGTAAACAAGTGGAACATGTGGTGAATCTAACTCTGCCGTGGTAACACCGGCTGCCTGTTTACAAATTCCTCTTTCCAACCTTTTTTGCCCTAGACGTTTCTATCCCGTTTTTGCTGCCCACAGCTTCTAATTTTCCTACCTTATTGACTGCCTCTTGGCCATTTCTCGTGACCTTATTATTTGTATCGATTTTCCTGTATGAATTCAATTTTGTATTGTCCCATTCGTTACTCACTTTATGCAGCGAGAGGACGCAGCTGATAGGCACTCGCGAAATTTACGGTTCCAATAAATTCTGCTGCATGCGCAATCTTCAGATAAAAGGTCATAGTCTAAAGGTTTACATGAGACACACACCTGTTGTGGACAGAGGTCGAATTTTAGCTTCTGAATTTCCGTTTCCTAACATATGAGGTAGCGTGCTAGGAATGAATGCATAGGGTGCTGATATGCCGATATACGGCAAGACATATGACGGAAGCCTCGACGCATGGGACAGGAAGACTTCGCAGTCATTAGTTCAGAGTGGAGAGGATGAGGTACCTCACTGAGAATGCGATCAAAAAATTGCTTGACAGTTTAAGACTGTCGCTATAATATAATATCAGCTAAAAAAAACATAAGAAGCACTGGCAGCTGAGGAGAGCATTCAGAGGATACGTTGAAAAATGGCCAGTTACTTTTCATTGAAGGCTGAAAAAATAACAAGAGAGCAGTAATGCATGAGGGGAGAATGTAGGCATCTATAAATCGCCCGATTAGGGCTTGCGGTGTGCCATATGAACGCAAACGGCGGAAAGAGCAGCTACTGCTTACAGACGGAAACTCCCAACCTCACACACATAGCCGTTGGCGAATTCATTGCGAAACCAATACCGGATTGTTTTTCTTGCCAGAAGTAGTATAGTGTCAAGATGATCCAATTATTGTAGTGAAGCCGAGAAAGGAAACTAAAAATCGGTAGAACAGGTTAAGAAATTTGAAATGTAAGAACATCCCATGTCAATGGAAAGCAGAAACATCGCGGTTTACTTTGCAAAAAACTATTTTGATGCATATGTCCTATTTCTTGGAGATTAATACGCAGTTCTTTTCAAAAGATGCCTTAGCCTCCATTCAGAGGGGCGCGCAGTGCTACGAACTGGATAAGACGAAGTAACAAAACCATGGATAGTAAGCGGAAATTTCTATGTAAGGTAAACTTCTCCACGGGGTTAGTGTGCTTTATTGGATCCGCAAATCCTGAATAAAACTACGAATTGGAAACATTAAACGACTTGTTTAAACTATAACAGGAAGAACATGGGTGGAAAGTAGTCCATTCTTCTTCAATTTGCTACATCTATAAATGAAAGAGTAGTAGCACACAATAGCATACAACTCAAAAACGTAAAGTAAATCTTGTTTTCGGGTTCATGTGCTTCAGAAAACATATCTGCAAGTTCTTATAAAAATATGCTAGGGGCCTATAATAACGACTTCTGTAAATCGTGCGGGAAAGATCTTGTAGCGAAATATTCTATGTTCCTATAACTTCACGAGGTTAATGAAACAAATAAGGTGCAGTTGGGAGTAGAGACAAAAGGCTACTTCTTAAATCCATTATTACTGGAAATGCTTCCGAAGAAACTCTTAGATCTTGGTGCTGTCAGTTTACTCTGAAGAGGGGACTTTAGAGTTAGGAGCTGATTGGTCAACTCGCTTCGACCCGCCGATGCCAAATAGGTTAAAGTATCAGCAGGGATTACTTGTATGATCACTTAGACCGGATGAGATGAAAGAAGGCCCCAACCGCCCGTCACATAATTCCAGGGAGGGAGAATTTTCCCTAATACTTGCCCTAACGTAAACCCAATTAAAATTAACCATATATTGAAAAGCAGAGCTAATCTTAGCCTTAAACTTAACACTAAACTTAATTCTTAGCATTACCCTAACTTAACCCCGTAGTTAGCACTATTAACACGAAACCTAACCCTTACTTGGTCCTTATTTCCCAGGTATTTGACACAAATCCACCTCTATTGTGATCGGTTTCTGATCTAACGTCCTATGTAGAGGCTATATTACTTATCATTAGCAAAGTATATAGTAAGGAAGTGAAAACTATATATGTGAAATGTATTAGACTGAAAATGCCACTGATATTCTTAGAAAATCTTTTTCTACAAATGGCAGCATGGACGAAGCCGATGAAGCAAATAGTAAAGAATACTTTCTGCCA